GCTATAAATTATATTATAGTATGAATAAAATAAATTATTCTGGTTATATTACTGATAAAACATTGCAAATATAAAGCGTAATACCAAAAAAAACATAATAATAAGTGATATCTAACACCACAATGACATAACAATACTTATGTATACGCAAGAAATAGATACTTACCAAGAAAGAACTCAATTTTTGTGTTAGATATCTTTCATCAAATTTAATCTTGACGATTTCAGTATTAAACAAGTTATGTAATATAGCTTGTGTTACAGCATATTGATTTTTAGTTGGTTGTCAGCTGAATACTTTCTTGGCAACCATCTGAAGATACGTCTTATCTTCTTCTTCAACAGTACTATCCAAGTTTTCTAAACACCATTGGACTTCTTCACTTGCTTTCCAAGTAATTATCTCAGATTCTGAACTTTCCAAATTAACAGTCGGTAACATCTTCCTTTTAAAAACATGATCAAATATAGCACATCGAAAAGATCAAAATAAAGCACCGCGATATTTACAAGATTCAGTACTAATCTATAATTAAATTTAGGTTAAGATTATTAAAAGAATTATATTTGCACACCATATGGCTTTAAAATATATATATATATGATAAATATAATAAATCAATTACTGAATTTTCGATCTTAGTAAACAATGCCTCCCATTTGGAATCTTTCTTATATCGACCCATTTTATCGGGACAAAGAACCTCAAGTTCTTTTCGAATGGCCTGTTCATATATTTTATTGTTAGGATAAAGCCAATTATCTATAGCTTTCTTGATACCTTTTATCGCTCCTTTCTAAATTTAATAAAAAAATTTTAATGAGTAATTTCATAAAATCAGGTGATAGTGTTTGTTAAGAATCTGGTCAACCAAGTCGGCATTAATAAAAATTTAGCCAATGATTAATAAAAATCTTAATAATATACTCATCTCCCACTCAATATATAAAATGATTACATAATACAAATTTGGGTTTAAATGAAGTTGAAAACTTGAAAAGCCCCAGCGTTGCCAATAATAAAGGCAGGCTAACCTATACTAAAACTTGATTTGATTAATATATAACACCAATGTTAATACATCAGATGATTAGTGGAATAATTAATGACAATAAGATTGCAGTCGGAAGGTCATATGACTGCACCCTTGATTATTGGCAACACTGGAACTAAAGAAAACTGCTATCAATAATGTAGGATCAATTTCTTTCTTCATGTAATTGAACATAAAATTTCGATAATAGAGCTCAGGTTGGTGTTAGAGCTATTAAGTTATTAAGTATAATTTAACAAAATATATGAAGAGAATATATTTATAATCAACACATTTTTCAAAATAAGTAAACCTTTTTTAGTGCTCACTTGATTTTAACTCTTTATTGGATACTCAATTACATGAACAGAAAATCGATTTTATGAACTAGCATTGTTGATATAATTTGAATATGTATTACATATACCTGCCACCATTCATTATCATGGCCTCTCACATTAAACTAGAAATTTTCGTGCAAAGATTGTAAAGTTTTGACGTTATTGGCTAACTGAATAACCACACTCTCAAGAGCGTCTTGTTTTTCTATAATTGACATATTTTGCATAAGTACTTGTTTAGTTATTTCTAATATTAATTTCATTGTTTCATTTTCTTTAGTTGAAGCTATTTCAGTTCAGGGTTAGTACTTGTAATTTAAAATCATATAAGTATAAGCAAGATACTAGCCTTAAGAGTGATAATAAAACTCACATGAATTGTTGCTACATTTTCAAAACTGATTATCTTCTGCATCAACCAACAAATTTTCTAACTCATTAGCAAAAGACTCATTGAAAGAAGATCGAGGTGGACTTTCAACAATTTCACAAGGCGAGTTTTGAGTATTGTCTTGATGCCTTCATTGTCAACATATATGGGCTAAGTAGTATGTTTACTTGCATTTCGTGGCTTCTTTATAATAGAAGTAGATAGACCAGATCTTAAAGCATCTGATGCCTAAAATAAGTAAGTTTAGAAAATTTATTAATTATTCAAAAGTTCAAAATTTAACAATTACTAAATCAATTTCACAAGGAGAGTTTTGAGTATTGTTATCGATGTTATTGATGTCAATATTAAGGGGTTGAGTAGTAGGTTTACTTGCATTTCGTGGCTTTATAATAGAAGCAGATGGACCAGATCTTAGAGCATTTAATGCCTGAAACAAAGGCAAGCTTCTTAGAAATTTGGTAATTATTTAAAAATTAAAAATTTAATAATTACTGAATCAACTTCATTCCGTTGAAGTTCAGGTTTCTGTTTTCGACCCTTAGGAGGCATAATGTAAAAAAAGTATTTAAGATCTAAAAAATTATAATAACTAGTGCTTTGACTTTTAAGAATTGTTTAAATAGTAATTATGTAATATCAAATAACAGGCATGCATGCACATACCCTGCAGTATACGATTACGCAATTTATAAAAACAATATACAATTTTGTAATTAAAATCAGGAAAAATACTTGTCATTAATTGTGTTACCTATTTAAGACTACATTATATTTCGTAAAAATAAATGATTGGATGGCTTGAGTAGACTGAATAAATGTTACGTATCCATTGATTGGTGTTTTTAAGAGAAAATAATATAAAAATTAATAATAAATTTGCAGGTTTCACTTTTTTATTAAAATAAAAACTTTTATGTAATGTATCCATCCATGGCAAGCCATAAAGGCATATCTTAAGATTTGAATTCTCTTATGTTTTAATAACATGAATTTAGTAATGATTATGTAAAGTAAAAAGTAGCAAAGAGTAGTAAAAAGTAGTAAAGAGTAGTAAAGAGTAGTAAAGAGTAGTAAAGAGTAGTAAAGAGTAGTAAAGAGTAGTAAAGAGTAGTAAAGAACAGTAAAGAATAATAAATAGCAAAAATAGTATTTATGCAGAATAGCTAGTGTAACATAACAGAATATTCGATCGATCATTGTGGTTTAATAAAACTCTATTATTTCTTATTATATACTAATCTAGAATATTCGATTTTAGTTATGATCATGATTTCAGATATTAAATTAAAGAGTACGATGCATAAGATTGATTATGCAATTAAAATACATTGTAAAATCAAAAAAATTTAATTATTTGCTTTGTAACAGAACAAAACATCTGATAACGCACAGGTCCAAGATCTCTTTGTATTGCAGTAAGCTGTTATGATTAGGATATAAAAACATAAATATTTGTAATTTGATTTAAACATTTTTTTTGAGTTTGAGTTTTTTTAATTATTATTATTATTTTTTTTAGATATTTTCATGTTTATTTGTAGTGTGTGCGGTAAAACGTTTGGCCATCTAACGAGCCTTAAAAATCACAAAAAGGTTCATAAAAATCGCTATCAAGTTGAAGATGAAACCGACATTAGTATGGATACCTATAGTTCTGACGAATTGGATATTAGTGCGAATATTTATAGTTCTGACGAATTTGATATTAAAAGAAGACAAAATAACTATCATGTTGAAGGTGAAGCTGGCTCCAGTATGAATACTAATAGGTCTAACGAATTAAATATTATAAGTAGACAAGATGATGACCTGATATTTGACAATCAAGAAGGCGTTAACGAATCTAACATGACATTTAATACTCAAAGCATCGCTGGTGAATCGAATCTAGTATACAATGACCAGAAAGTTATAAATGAATTTAATCCAATATCCAATGAATCTGGTGAAATATTTGGGGAGAATATATTAGAAAGTGACAAAATTATAAGTGAAGCTGATGAATTCCAGTATTATAACAGTGAATATAGTGACAATAATGAAATAGATAGTTCAGACTTTCCAAGTGCTGCATACTGAGATTTCATAAACATCGTAATTATTATATTTGTCAATTTAATTGTTTTTTTTTTGTTTTTTTTTGAACCTGTTTTGTCACAGAGATGCTGTGGGTATATTGTTAATCAGAATTTTGGTATTTATATAATGCTTCTCTTTAATATTAGGTAATCAAATATAAACTTTCTTATACGGCCAGTGATGCTATATTAAAATTTATAAAAAAATATGGTCAAATTTCAGAAAAACTACTTTCCTGATCAACAAAAGATGGCCTTCTTTTCTTGGATAAATTGAAGAAGAATTATACCAGGTTTTTTTCAACTTCTGTTGTATGAATAAAAGACCAAGTATATTCATTTGAGTATAGGCCAATTATTTCGACAATTAAAAAAATTTTTCAAAATCAAGAAATCGCAGAAAACTGTAATTTTGATTATCAAGAAGTTTATATATCAGTTGAGATAAAGTTCTTAAATACAGAAATAACTATAATCATAGGTTTTATCATAATATAACTATATCATGAACCTTCCCGATTTTGATCATACCTATAGCAACCAATAAATGTTTGTTATGTAGTTTTGTTATCAAAGCCGAACCTGGCTTTCACAGTATTACATATACAATAAAGTATATTGTATGATTTATTAATATACGATCGTATAATCATAATTGAAATCAGGTGAGGTATATATGGATATTAAATGGGTTAGGTGCTAAGAAAATGAACCAAATTAACAAAATAAGTTTGGAAAATTGATTTATATATTATAAAATTTATATTAAAACAAATAAGTACGTACAAAATTTAAAAAATATACTGCTAAATTTTATTAATATATTATTTTTTATTTCTTAAATAAAAAATATTATAAGTTAATTTTAATTAGTTAAATTCAAAAAAAAATTTTAGAAAAAAATTGTTGATTTGTTCCTTTTTTATAGCATCTAACCCAAATATAAATTAAAGATCCATTAATTTTGCATACTATCTCTATAAAAATCTAAACTTTATATCAATATTTCTGCTTTTTAGGGATGCCAAGAAAGGTTATTCTTTGAGTTTTATAATTCCAACTGGTGGGGTCGTGCACAACAACATATACCATCCAAAAATAAGGTCTTAGCTATAATAATATACTCTGACGCAACTATTCTGGACCATTTAGAGAAGAGTTCACGGCATCCAATATTTATCAGTTTGGGAATATTCCAACGGACCTTCGAAATAAAGCTGAGGCCAAAGTGCTTGTTGGTATTATACCAACATTGCAGGGAACAAAAGATGAACATCAGACGTCACAGTTTCGACAATTAATTAGATCAGTTTTTCACAAATGTATTAACATCTTAATTGAGCCATTACATTCTCAGTATCACTCTGGTGTATTATTAAAGGTTAACAGTTATAATATAAGATGTAATATAATATTGGCATCTATTATTGGAAACTGGCCTGAAAACTGCAAATCATGTTTAACTTATAGTGGAACGAGTTGTGCACGACCTTGTCACACCTGTCTTGTAGGAAAGAATGAACTAAATGCTATTGATTTGCCCACTAATCGTAAGATTGTTCGAACAGAAAACCGAATGAGATAAGTCATTGCAATGGGACAAAGCAAAGATTACTCATTACATGAAGAAACCAATAGTTTTTGGAATCATCTGTAAGGGTTTGGCATTTGTTTATTTATTTATTTTTTAATCCCAAGATAACAATTATTTAGAAATGTTATGTGGCGCACAATTATAATTTAAATAATATATGGTATTAAATTTATGGTTGATATTTTATTACTATCATATATAATAGAAATTTTAATGTCTATATGGCAACAGTTCCTGAACGAATGCACCATTTAGATCTTGGTCTCTTTTTATATATAGTTAAGTTTACACGAGATCTTTTGAAAGTTTATGGTAGAGCTGCTCTTGTTAATAAAATGGATCAAAGACTTGGATTGATACCACGTTATCCAGGGCTAAAAATATTCAATACTGGGCTTGCGGATCTTGCCTTGTTTACAGCATCAGAGTACAAGCACATGATGAAAGTTATGCCTTTCGTTCTTGAGGGTCTTTTTGAGGGAAAAAAAAATGAATTACTTGTTCAAATGTTTGTTAATTGGAATAAAATGTATTGTTATTCAAGACAATATAAATTTACACAGACTGACCTTTGTCAATTTGAGGTTAGTAATTTTACTTCATTTTATAAATAAATATTTCTATTATGCAATTTTCGATACAAAGTGTTTTTTTTTTTTTAAAAAAAAAAAAAAAAGACATCGATTCGAACATGGCCAAACAATTTCATTGATACACTTGGCTCATTTACAAAAAATAATTGCCATTTTTTAAAATTTCACCATTGGATACACCATACGATCGAAACAATCGAAAAATATGGGAATATAAATGGATTAAGCGCAGAGACATATGAAGCGCTACATAAGCAATATATTAAAACTCCTTATAGGATGTCCAACAAACGTAATATTAATAACCAGATTTTACAAAAGGTTTTTTTTTTTGCATTTGTATGTATTGCTATTTATTTTTAATTTGTACGTACATGCTAATATCAAACTTGTTAGATAATATGAATGATTACAATCAGAGATATTTATAAGCATATTGTTCCAAAAAGTTACCAATCTAAAAGTAAAAAAGATATGGGAAATTTTGGAAAAAAGTATTGTACTATACCTTTACACCTTTTAAAGTCACTTGTTGAGTCATATAAACGTAATGAAGAAAGCATCTCTGAAATTCTTGAAGGTTTACACCATTTTATTCCCGTACTGAACGATTATTTTAAACTTTTACCTCCTATGTCTAAAACACAAATGGAAAAGACAGAAGCTAATTTAATTTTATATGAATCTTTCACATTAACTAATAATGAACAAGTTAGAGCTACAAAAAATTACTATAATGCACCGATGTTTAGTGATGTTGCTGTTTTTATGAACTTAGAGCAAAAAGAATTTAAGACATATGATGGATATTGCTTTGCGAAGTTATATATTTAAAATAAATATGTTTTTTTTACATAATATATGTTTAAAAAACATGATAGTCTGAATGATCTTTCCTAGTATCACTGTCAAAATTTTCACTTTCACGTGACAGCATTTAAAAATCTTTAAATTCATTTAAGTTAGGGTTAGCATTTATAATAGGGCTAGGTTTTAGAGGAGTGATAGTAAAATCACTCGAGGCATTTTTTTTGTTAGAGCTCAAAAGGTGGTTTCTTATGCAAGTTTTTGAGAAATAAGCAATTTTTGAAAAGCGAACGTTTTGTTTTGATCTTCCTGATCATGTAACATTACATTAAAATGAACGTGAAAGTGAAAATTTGATGGTGATCCTGGGGTAGTTGTCTGAATGTAAACTCATGGAAATGATTTGCGATTGGTTATTTACTATTATGGCGATTGGTTATTTTACTATATGTTTATGAATCAAACTGTAGAATTATCATTATTGTTAAGTAGCAATAAAAAAAAATCTACAGTAAACATATATTTTACATAATTATTTAATTTTATAGATCTTATTATTGGTTCACATTGTGTTAGAAAATACTTCGATATTCGATCTTGCACTTATTCATTAGTATGATTTTAAATATCCTAATATCCCTTCAAAATGTTACAAATATAGGTGCCCCTATATACAATTAACAAACATTTACAATATGATTCCAATAGCATCAATTAATAATGTTGTTTATATTGTTCCACAATTTGATGTGATAAATTCATATTATGTTAATACTTTTATTTTTAATTAATATCTTATATACATAGTTTTATATAATTTATATATATAGATTTATATAGATTTATATGTAATAATTATTATATAAAAATTTATTTTAACACATCCTACTCAGGCTATCAACAGCATTCTTAATCGTTACCACCAACCTGTTCACTTTAACAATATAAAACTTT